AGATAAACTGGAGTTTAGGTGAAGGAAAAGGAAAAACATTCTAGGCAGAGGGAACAGCAGGTACAAAGGCTTATTGTGGGAGGAGCATGGCAAGAATAAGGGAATGAAATAAGGTCAATACGGCTAGAACATAAAAACATAAAGAGTAAGGCAAGAAGGACATGGCTGAGGCCATGATTGGATAGAAACGTAGGGGCCAGCCTATGCAAGACCTTGTAAGATATGTGATGCCACCATGTAAGACATGTAGCTTTGTCCTTATCCTAAAGGCAATGGAAAGCTACTGAAGCATATCAAGTAGTAGGGTAATATAATCAGGTTTGCATTTTGAAAAGATCCCTCTGATTACAGTATAGAAAACAGATTAGAAGGGAACAGAGTAGACTGGGGTAGGCCAAGATTAGGCAGCTATTGTAAATGCATCCAAAAATGCTAGTAGTTTAGAATAGGGTGGTGATGGATAATGGAAAGAAGTAAATGGTTCCAAAAGATGGTCAGATTTTGTCAAAAGATTTACATTCATAGATTAAAACCCCTAAAATTGGAATGACTGGGTCAAAAAACATTTCAAGGATTCAGATATGCATTGCCAAGCTGCCCAGCCAAGAGCAGTTTTCTCTTCATTTGTGAATAACCTTGTATCTGTTCCTCTATCAGAATTTTAAAATTCTTTTGAAATTCCTTTAAAATGACTTAATCAATACTTCCTTCATGAAGCCTTCCCTGACTCCCCTTTTGGCCTGCTAAATGGTCACTGAACATGTCCTCCTTTGAGTCCTCACTCTGTCTTACACACAGTTCTTTTATATTCCAATTAAACTATGTTTGACTTATGTTTACATGTCTATCAACTCTACTACATTGTGAGCTCCTGGAGGATAAAAGTTACTCATAACGACGACACCTAAAATATAGCTCAATATACATGGTAGGTTCTCATTAAATGTTCACTGAATAAACTGAATCACATATTACTAGATCCTACTGGGTCCACATACTTAAGAGGACTCCTGCTGAATAAGCTTCTGATGTACTGATGGTGATTTTAAATCAAATAGAATATAGAAATGTAATAAAATCTGCTCCTCAGTCCTTCAAATTTCTACTAAATAAAGTAACTAATTTTGTTTGTGGTAAATCACTAAATCTCAGTAGTGCTCCTGAAAAACCTTTCTAACAATTATAGCAAGTAGGTATTATGTGATGTTAAGACATTTTTTAAATGGTTTAGCCAAAAAAAAAAAAAAAAGAAAAGAAAAAGAAAAAAATGCTATGAGCAACTTTTATTAAAGAAATTATTTGTAACCTGAGTTGTTGATAAATGCTATAGATTTCAAAATTGTACTCATCTTAAATGTATTTAATAATCTACCAGTTTACAAAGTGAGGTTATTTAACAACTACATAAATTTACATAGCACTCAGAATTATCAATTTCTTATGTTTAAAAATCTGATGTCATAGCATCTGGAATAGCCTACTAAAATTTTCACTAGCTGGAGTAAGACTTAGAGGTGGGAATGGCAGAGTTCTCTGCAGTAATCTTAAAGTCAAGCAGCTCCCTCTATAGTCTGTTTGGCCTACTTTGTTTAATTACTTGCTTTGTGAACATCTCACACACACTCTTCTATTTACTCCTACTCTGCATCTCAGCAGGGAAGCTTTTTGAAAGGATAATTCTGTTTAAACTGATGCTGAGAAAGCTGAGAAAGCTGTCTAAGCTCAACATGAAGTGAGTTACATCAGGCAACTAATAAGCAAGGGTTAGGATGTAGAAACTGGACAGCTTCCCACCTGAGTCAAGTCCTTACATTTAAGCATTAGGATTTTATCTAAAGTGAATTCCCAGAGCAGTCAAACCCATATTCAAATCTAAGTAAAAAAAAAAAATGCTGTCCTGCATGTGTTTATAACCTTGCTTCCCTCCATTAAAACAAGTTACCAAAATGTTACACTGCTCAATACAGTGTATGTCAAAACAATCCTCAAGACAATTTTAAATTAGTGAAAGAAAAGCAGAAGAGGGTTTTAAAAAAATAATTCCATCACTTGCATGTAGAAAATTTACGTGATTCTCTCAGGAACCAGTATCCTTAACCAGCAAGAGATTAAATCAGTGAGTCAGGATTCACCACTCAAATTTGAATATACCACTTTTAAAAAATACATTTCCAAATTTCACCAACTTAAGACATGAGAGCTTTTAAACCTAAGGCAGTTATTTATTTAACTTATACAAATATGCCCTCAAAACACAGGACAATCAGAAGTCAACTGGACTGTTTTCTAAAGCAGAAAAATAGTCTTTATGCATAATAGAAAAACTGAACTAGTAAAAATGTAATAAACCAATCAGTCCAAAATTTATAATATAAATCTGAAATGGCCACTTTATTTGGGACAAAATTTCTTCTGCTGCAATTTTTCACCACTTCATTCAAAAAAGCAAACTCAGTTTAAAAACATCTTTTCTCCAAACCAAGGTAAAGAATTAAAGAATTCCAAAATTAACTACTATGTATGAAAGACTTAAGTTTATGGTACTTTATGTGACATACGTTTATCGTGTGTTACAATGTTTCATTAATATTACTAAATAGTAGATATACAAACATAGTTCGTGCTTTCAGACAACAAATGTCTTCATTAAAAATTCTAGTAGTCAGCCTTTTTTTAAGCCAAATTGACCTCTCTTGCATATTATTTTCAATTTTATTTTACTAAGTGGACTGTACTAGTTTTCTTTGGGCAGAGAATTCAGAAGTAGATAATTGTACATTTTTTGTTTACATTTAATTAACACTAATTTTACTGACATGCTAAAAATGCTAGCTTGATTTCTGAATGCTTGATACTAAATGTATGCCAGTGACCTCATTTTTTTCACCTGTTGAGGAAACACAAAAATATGTATGTTTGAAACTGAACTATATAGCAAACTTAATTTCATAATCCTTAACAACTTGAATTTGGGTTTCTATCAGGTTTTATGTCTTTCAACATATGCACAAAAAAGTCTTATTTTTATACTGATTTACGTTATACATTTCAAGACAAATTTTTAAAAATCCAGTTTGTGTGTGTGTGTATGTGTTTTAAAGGGAGGAGAGATACTGGTAATCTACTGCATAATGTGCAAGAGGGAAGGAATACGTATTTTTCATAGAATAGTTCATTTGTCTTTTTTTAATACTGAGAAACACAAAAGTAGATTATACTCTATTGTTTAAAGAATATTTTCTCACTTAATAAAATTACTGCTAAAATTACAGTGAAATTCATTTATTTCCACAAACAAAACTTTCCTATAAAACGGAGCTTGCAAATCACTCAAGGATACATATTTGATGACCTGTGTAGAGGAAAACAACTATGTGTAGAAAAGTAACCAAAACCATACAAATTGTAATACACAGAAATGCCACAGTAAGTATATCCTATTAGCATGTTGCTTTGTAATTTTGAAATCCGAATGAACAGAACTATATCAATGTCACTATCTTATCTTTTCTCCACACCTTAAATTAAAAAAAAAGTACATTACACTGAAATTCCAATTAGAAACAAAGACAGCACCACTATATTTAAAAGGGCAAAAAAAAAATCTATGCTTCAAAATATTTTACTACCTCTATTTTCCAACCTTCAAAGTTTCAGGTGTTACACTTTCAACAAATTGTTAACAGCACCCAAATTTCCCATCTTACGAGGTACTTATCATCAAAATATTTTTCACTGTTTAAAAAAAATTCTACCAAATTTCACCAGCAACATTGCATGTTTTAACAAAGAGAATTCACATTAAAAGATAACTGCTTGGAAAGAGTGCTTGTGTTGGGGAAATGCTATTATCTTGACAACCCACAGAAACTGACTCTAGTAATAAGATGAATGGTCATTAGGGCAAGGAGCATCAAGTGGGAAATGCTATCTAAAATCCCATAGGACAATACATTGCTAGAGGTAAGAGCATCTCTTTCCAGGAGGCAGCTCCATTATTTCACGTAGGCAGTTCAAAGCATGCAGAAAAACAAAACAATTAAAAACCTTGTAAATTTGGCCACTATCCTCCTTACATTATCACAAATTCCCAAGATCTTTTGAGAACGTAGCTTGTCTCCTCACCCAACTCGTTCTTCAAAATACTTTTTAACTGTACGTGTTCTGAAAATGCAACCCTGTAACCCAGCATAGAGGCATTTTTAAATGTTTGTGTTGCTGGGTTTAGCTGTGGTTGCTAAGAAATTCACACTATTATGTGGGATGTTTTATGCTGGGCAACATAAACTCGCATTTCCTACTTCCATGGATACACATTTACCTAAAAGCAATGCACCTGGGGATGCAGCCCTGTCCCCAGGCTCTAAGGCTTTAAACTCTAAGGAGTTACGACCCGCACTCAACAGCAGAACCACATGGTCACTTCAATGAGAAAGCTTATCGGGCCCCAGGCGCCACTCTTCAGCCCAGCGCATTTCCAGAAGGGGCAGAGGAGAGCGCTGGTGAGAAGAGGCGACGAGGAGCGATTGACAACAGAGCTGACACTTCCCCACTCCTCTTAAAGCCATTCCAGCAAGGGGCACTTGGGAGACGCAGAGGGTGTCCATGGTCCCACCAGAGACCGACCTCAGAGCGGGGCCCTGCGCACCGGGTCACGGAGGACATGGCGCAGCCCGTCCTCCGGGACGAGAGCGGTGTTCGCTCCCCGCGCCCGCGACCCCGAGTGCGGAGCCGGTTCCCGGCCGCCGCACGCAGTGTAAACACTTGGCGCCCGCCGCCTCCCTAACCCAGGGTTTGGGGGAGGGGGGCCACGCTCGCCAGGACCCACATTTCTGCGCCTCTTGTCACGCACGGGAGGAAAAGCGAGGAGGGCGAAGCGGAGGGAAGACGCGGCAGCGATCCGCCGAGAGGGCCGGCGCCGGCGGCGTGCGTGCGAGTGCGCGGCGGGGAGGGCTGCCCGGGCGCCCCAACGCTCCCGCCCGCGCCCCGCGACCACCTACCTGCCGGGGTCGCTCCGAAGATTCGCACCACCGGCACCTTCTTGACAGGGGCCTGGGTGAGGGGGGATTGGCAGATATCCAGCCCCTGGAGCGGTCTGGCCATATAGTAGTCGGCAGTCACTATCCTCACTGAAAACATGTTCGCCGCCGCCGCCACAGCCTCCTCTTCACTAGCAACCTGGCAGCCGCAGCAGCAGCAGCAGCGGCAGCTCCTTCCGCAGCGGCGGCCCCACAGCAGCAGCGGCGGCCCCACAGCAGCAGCGGCGGCGGCGGCGCCCCCTCCCCTCCGCGGCACGGCCCCCTCCCCTCACACTCAGACACCGCGGGCAGAGGCGGCAGGCGGGGCGGTGTGGGCACTGCTGCCGCCGTCTCCTCAAGAGCAGCGGGCGAGGGGCGACAGGAGAGAAGCCCTCGCGCTCTCGTCGATGCTAGTGCTTGTGCTCGTGCTGCCGCCACTGCCGCCGCCGCCGCCGCCGGGAATCACACGGGTTCCTCGGTCCCAGGCTGCAGCTCTTGTTGCCATGATGATGATGTCACGGACGCAACCACTGGGGGAGGGGAGAAGGGGGTTTTGTGTGTGTGTGTGTGTGTGGTGAAGGGAGGGCTGTGAGTAGTTGGGGGAGGGGACGCGGCGGGAAAGGAAGGGAGCGGGGCGGGCGCCGGAGCGGGACGCCCTAGCGGGGGCCGAAAAGGTGTTTTTTTCCGCCCCTGGGCACACAGCGAGGGAGGAGGCCGCCAGAAAGCTGGACTCGCGCCGGGCGCCGGGGATCGATAACTCGGCCGGTGGGCACGGCCACCTGGGTGAGGGGCAGCGGTGGGGGGGGTGGCAGAGCGCCGATGTCATGGATGGACTCGGAGGGCCTGGCGGGAGGGGGGCGCCAGTGTTTAGGGCCGTTTTGGCGGCTAGGCGGGATTGGCCACAGCCGCGGTGCTCGCGCTCGCCTCGCCGACCGCCATTTCACATCCTGCAAAGGAGGCGGGGGCGACCCCGGAGACGGCTTTTTACAAGGTAAGAAAACCCGCCCGCGGGGAAGGGAGGCGAGGCGCAGATCTCGTGCTGCCGCGGCCTCGCGGGAGGGAGGACGGCGGACACAGCCGGCCCTTCTCAGGTAACGTCGCGGCCCCGCGCGTGGCCCGAGGGCGGCGCGAGGGGAGGGGGCGAGCGAGCGTGGGCTTCGGCCTATAAAAGGGCCGCCCCGGCGCTCCCTCCCGAACGTGCGTCGCGGGCCGCCGCGCTTCCCTCTTCCGCGGCTCCCCCCCCCGCCCCGTTCCGCGCTGCAGTGTCTGCTGCCGGCCGTCTAATGAGATTTATTCACGCTCGGCTCTGTTCAGCTTTGCCAGGGGTGGGCAGATCCAGTGCACAGGGATTTCCCACCACGGTGTTTTCTCCCTCCCCTTTCCTTCCCTCACGCCCTAGTATATCCTTCCTTGGTCTCCCCGGGCCCGCAGGCTGCGTCCCGGGCGCGCGCCAGGACAAGTAAGGACTTGTCGGTTCCCCGTGACCTCCCTCCTCCCCTTTCTCCTCTTCTTTCCCCGGCGGAATGTAGGATTAAGAGCATTTCAGTGAAATTTTCGGCCAAAGAGAAAGGGCCCGTGAAAGTCACCGTGTCAGATACGGACTTCCGGTGTTAACAGTTTTGTGCGAGGTTTTACTACACTAAGGCATAAAAGCAAAAAAGGGTAGGGGAGGGACCGTTAGAAAAAAACAACTTAATCCAAAGTGAGGGGAGTAGGGGTGCAGTTGTGAAATTGGAAGAAAAAAGGGGTAGTGGCTGATGAAAATGGATTGGCCATTATATTGGAACTGATGGGGTTTTGTCTCAGTCGGTCACTCATGTTGGGCGTGACCTTGGACAAATAATTTCGTTTCTTAGGTCCTCAGTTTGCTCATCCGTGAAACACAAAAATCCGTTTAAGGATTTTTTCCTCAGCAAAAAGATTTAATTGGTAGAAGACAGAAATCGTGCTTATTGAGTTTGAAATACGCCACTGAATTAGGACTTTGACAGTCGTTTTCACAGTCTACTCAAATTAGAGATCATTCTTTTACAAGTGTACTAAACAGGTGTATTTTAATGGTTGGTAGGTTGCCATATATTTGACGTGGTGTATAAGGTTGTCATTTGGAACCGTTGTGGTTCTTAAGAAAAATAAACGGCTCAAAGGGACAGATCACTGGTAAGAAGCTGTCTATAAATTCCGTAACATATAGTGCTAATAGGAATTTATGCTCCACGGAATTCAAGACTGATTAACACAGTTAATTAGCCTGCACTTTTTACCTTGAGAGCATGATTGTAAACGTAGGTGGCAAGATTTCTACTGATAGACAGGAAATTACTTTTAACAGGCAAAATCTCTCAAGTTGATCTAAGTTTTAGAAGGCTGTGTTATTGACTTAAAAATAGGACTACCATACTAAATGCATTTTCTGGTAAAATAAATATTTTGTACAAGCTGAATGTCAGATGCACATTACCAGTGATTCTCATAGTATTCTGTGCCACTAGCATGGTCTTTAAAATTTAATACTTTGACCCTTACTAAGTCACATTTTGGGAGGATGGGGCCTGGAAATCTGTATTGTTAGCAACCCTACCCATCACTCTCATGATTCTTAATATAAAATTGAGAAACCCTGTTTTATTATAATCAAGTGCATCCATAGTTTTTAAATTATACTATTCCTAACTAGAAAAATGTAAAAGTGTCACATTCATAGATTAGCTGTTTCTACAGAAGGATTTCTTTCCTCCTGCCTCTTTGAATCAACATGAATTACTTTAAGAAAAGGTAGTTGCAGCCACAATTCAAATCCTAGAACCCCAAGGAATGTTCACTCTTGAAGAAAAGCATTTGCAGCTGAAATTAGGAAATTGTGTTCATTGCATGTAATTGATTTGAAGGTAAGGCTCAACTTGAAAACCTGGTAATACTCCCCTAATTAATCACTATCAAATGTATTTTATAAATATATTCTCTTGAAGTAAGAAAGAGCTCTGGAATTTTGAGTCAGAATGAAAAATTAAACCATCATTTACTAGGTAAATGAGTTTGGACAGATCATTGTATTTTAGGGGGTTTGTTTCCTCATCTATGAAATGGATAGTAATTCCGGGTTTAATTTCTCAGGGATATTATAAGGCTCAAATGAGATGGTGTATGTGAAAGTATTACAAACTTTGACATCCCTAAGTTTAACTCATCTAAAAACAGTAAAATCGTTTAACTCTTAACTACATCCAATATGAGAAATACCGAAATTGAACTCTATACTTAATAACCTTAAACCATCTCTTTTTGTTGTTGTTACTGTTGAGTGGCTTCTGTTTGCCAGGTGATTTGAAATGTAGTGAGAAACAAAACAGACTTGCTTCCTGCCCTTGGAGAGTTCATAGTCTAGCATCATACAAGTGTATTTTAGCCGTATCAATTGACATTTTTATTATCTCTTCTGGTTCACTAACCTGTATTCATCATGTCATGCCTTTAGTAAAAGCCTGCTCAGTCTTCTGAACCAATACTGTTCAACATCTATTAGCATCTGCTTGTTAGCAGCTTATAATCTAGAACAGAAGGCAATAGCTACCATAATTTTTGACAGATATTATAAGATGGCATACTCAACACTTATCCAGCCCCCTTCTAGTTTGCTATTGTGTACTTTAGAAGCTAGAAAATTAAAAACGACTGTTTCGAGACCCCCTTGCAACTGGAGTACTGGCTTGGATGAGTGCTTTGCTGGTAAATCTTTAACAATGGCTAGGGGAGGGGAAAGACCCTGATTTGTGGCACCAACCGATTTTTTATCTCACTGAATGGGGAGTTAGTTGGAGAAGATGCCAACAATTAGGAGCTGATAACAGCCTATCACTACTTGTGACCTAGTTTCCAGCAATAAGATGCACCCATTCAAGACGTGGATCTGAAAATGAGCAACATAATGCCTCAACTACACTCAGGGATATGACTTTTCTGGCAAACACCTTGGTGGAGGTGTCTGATTCTTTTGGGTAGCTGGGGAGGAGTTCTGGCATCCACTTTTAGTGTCTTAGGTGCTGACTGGTGGGTGGTGCTGGGATGGCTTTCCACTAGGTAGCTCTGTGATGTGGGATAAGTGTTCTTCCTGGTTTGGTTTTTCCTGGATGTTGTTTCTAGTGATGCATTATCCAAGCGAGGTTCTCTGGTCCTCTCAGAGACCTATGAGCTAAGTACTATCCTTTAATCCTTTCTGCTTAAACTAGCTCAGTCACAGTCAGCTACCCAATTCATTGAGCCCAGAGCAAAATGAAAAACATAGGGCTCCTGTTCAAAAAGCAAGGGGAAAATATCATTATATGCACTAAAATTTAAAGCTTTTTCTTTCTTCTGGCATCTCTCCCTCAACTTATGCTGTTTTTTATTTGCTTTTTAATGTTACTCTAAGTAAAGAAAAATTGGAATTTTTAATTATTAGGATAAATTTTACCATTTATATTGTGCAGTACCATTTATAAATGCAAATATAAGAGCATTTAACTCATACATGGAATCACCAAAATTATAGAATTCATATTTTGTAGCTTGTACATGCCATAAATATGTATTTTGTGCTTATCAGAACAGTATAAATGCTGCATAAAACCAACTCTATGTTTTTCTTTCCCTTCTTGATATGCACGCATCCTACTTTTACCCATCCTTCTATGACATCGTTTTCAGTGTAAATGGTAGTACAGGGAATTAACACATGCAGGAAAGGATATGATAGAGTTCTTTGGTCCCTTATATTTCTTAGGATGCCATTGCCTTCTTTCTGTACCTGAAGCAAGTTCTGGTTGAAATGGAAAGCACAGCCTCTTGGAACTGTCAGCGCCTTAGTCATAGATGTAACATGCTTGCCTCATACTCACTTTGTAACTCCCTGAGTTCCTGTACCACTTAGGTTTACCAGAATCCTGTGCTTGTGAAGCATTACGCAGACTATGCAAACGGGGTGGCAAGGGAAAAAGGACAAACATTCCCTCCTCTGCCGTGTGTATGATCCATTGTACCACTGGACTTCTTTTATAAAACAGCCGTTCAAACATAAAAGTATTAAGATTTTCAAAATGGTGACTGCAGAGCATTAAACCAGGCAGTGGGCCCTGTATGACTGCACAGTTTGCAAGCCCATGAAGTTGACCCTGAGCTCAGTGTTTCTCAAGGGAGCTTCTCCTGATATTTAGGATGAAACAATTCTTTATTGTGCAGGATATTTAACATCCCTGGCCCCTGGGCACTACATGCCACTGTGATAAAAATGCCCCCAAATAAGAGTTACTGCTCTCCACTGAACTCCTAGAGTGGACTCCACTGTCTGCAGCTAAGAACCATGATCATTACAGATCCAAGAAAGGTCATGTGCAGTTTTTGCAAGGGATTCTCAAGCAGAGCAAAATACAGAATTGAGTTAAAAAGATTTCAAAAATTCTCATACCTGGGAGGGTAAAATTAGGGTGACCTTTTCCCCATTGTCCAAAAAATAATACCACCTACATTGGTGATGAAATAAACATATGGGATGAAACTTGAAAGGGGATCAGTGGGTTTTATCTGTCACATGCATATAAATGATAGTTGACTCCAGACAGATGGCTATGTCTGATAATTTAGAAAAAGAGCAGAGAACTACAGAAAAGCAAAGAGAACCATCTTACCATCATTGTTTTCATCAATTGGCTAGGAGGATGAGGGAGCCCCTAGGAAAAGGTTAAGAAAGTTGCCATAGGAAGCTGTGGTACTCTTAACATAGATTTTGAGCTTAGTTTCATTGTCTTTACCTATTTTTTTTTCAAGTTTTAGCTCTTGATTTAAGAATATTAATGTTGTAGCAAATTAGAGCCGAAATAAGATAGCCCAGATCATTTTGTTTCCTTTATTCCTATAGTATTAGCCATGTAGGAATTAAAAGATTGAGCTCTATAGACCTGGCCTTGCCTT